CCAAACCATTCTATGATTCTGTGATTTTGTGAGACATCAGAATGATCTTATTCCCTTAATAAATGGAGCTCAAGGGCTCTGATTTGGTACCTTGCGAATGTTTTCTGGGGCTGTGTTTGCTTTACTATGAGTGCTTACTGCAGTGAGAAGGAAGCTATGGGACTGAAACCAGTTTTAAGGGCTGGTTTCCTGAACAAATAGGACAGCAGTGCTATTCCAAAAGACATTTTCAGTCTCCACAGCTGGCTGATGAGACTGTGGCCTGTTCCTCTTTCATTGGCTCTGGAGTGGTGGAACAAACCAGTTAGTTTCACAAGAAGCACTTTCCTAGGCAACCCTCAGCAGCTTCCTTCTTCAAATGATGCTGTGCATGAGCTGCTTCGGTAGTGTTGGCGCATTGCATTGAAGCACCCAGTGACACGTGTTTCTCCATCCACCAAACCCTGTGATGTGTGAGTTCTTCCTGGGATCACAAATGTAAACACCTCGTGTGCTGCTGAGACCTATGGGGTAATTGCTGCCCCAGTGTATTCGGGACTGAGAGAAATGTGCTGTGGGAAATTGGAATACTCAGGGTGGAAGAGGCCTCATTTTGATTTACAAGGACATTTCCAAATGGAATCACAATGTCAGTTACATGAAGAGAAAACAGGCAGAGCTCTGTAGTCTCATTCAAAGCCCAGATCATCTCTTTATAAATGAAAGCTGTCTCATAGACATCTGCCTGAAGTGGAGATGGGGTGTAAGTGGGAAGAGGAATCATTTCCTCTTGTGAGTGCAAAGGAGGAGTGGCTCTGCAGTTATGTCAGGAAATGCTGATACTTTTCCATAAGAGTGACTCCAGGAACGGATTTACTGCTTTCTCAGAGACACAAAAATGTGATTAGTGATTGAGTTGTCTCCATGGGACTCCAGAAAGAATGACTGCAAACCATGACTTTTACTAGTACCAAAGGTTGCCTCTGGCTATTCGTGGGGATAGGATTTCAGTTTACTATAATCACACTGATGCCAAGGAGCACCTTGGCAAAGGATGGATGCTTGACCTTTAATAAACCTTTAGTTTCATGTAATGAGATTTAGCAGCTACAGATAAGAGAGAGGAGCCAGCATCACACAGCCAGTGGCTTTTGAACCTCTGTAATAGAGTGTTCCCTGTCTGCTGCATCCTGGTGCACATGGGCAGGCAGCTACAGGCTTTCAGGTTGGCTTGGCCTCTCTCTTCATTTGCATTGCTTCGGACTGAGGCTTTTCTTCACCTACTTGCCAGACCCAGCAATGCAGTCCCATGCCAAAACAAGCCCACGCTGCAAAGCTTTATTTGTTTTGTGTTACAGCACCCACAGTGTAAAGGGGTGAACTTCCTTTGGAAAGAAGCATGAAGTCTCTGTGTGACAAGCAGTTCAATCTTAAAACAGGGCTGGTATGCTTGTACAGCCCAGAAAAGCATGTTTAAATGAACCATAATGCCATGTCTGTGTTAGTGCTTCAGCCCATCCTATTTTAGTCCATGTTTATCATAACCAGAGAGCTGAGTGTGGCAAGAAAACGTCACTTAGTTCAGGCAGCAGTGTGATCATGGCAATGCTTTATTCCCCAGCATACCAGTGTAAATGAACTTCCAGTGGACTGATAGTGTTGTGGTGACTCCCTCCTTTTTGGGGACTGGACTTGGAGATTTGCCCGCTCTTTGAGCTTGCAGTATAATGCATGGGGAAGTGCTGAAAGAAAGGTGAGGATCATGCATGGTCCCTCCTGTTTCGCTGGTTGTCCCTGCTTGTCCTCACAGCCAGGTTGCCCAATTCAGTAGGTCCAATGGTGTGTCTGTACAGTTAAATATTTTCAAGAGTGCTGACCTGAGCCATAGAGGCAGCTTTAATAGTGTTTTCTGGCCTCCCCTTGGGAGCTGGTTGCTCCCCAGCACTGGATATTTTATCCTCTGTGTGTTGCAGGGTACCTGTAACAAGGCTTTGAAATTGTGTCTCACAATCATCAGCCAACAGTCCCCACCTGTGTCCCAGCGGCCAGAGGTGTCCTCAGCTTGATGCCCCAGTGATGCAACCCATCCTGCTCAGACCATATGTTTGTGTTCTTGCAGACACATCAGGATGTACCTCACAGACCCAAATCCACTGCGGAGACACAGCATCTACCTCAAGGTGGGTACAGAAGGGCTCTGGGGAGCTTGAGGGTCACAACGGAGAGTGGGGAAGGCAGCCTGAGAAATGGGGAGGGCCACATTTCTTAGTGCTACCTGTGCTGTGCCACTGTGGGAAACTGAGACTTCTCTATTTGTTGTGAGGTTTTCCTTCTTCAAAGTTTGATCTCCACCAGCCCAGCCCTCCTAACTTCTCAAACTGGCCCAGGTCAGAAGGTGTATCTCTGTTTGTTCTCTTCATCCCCACAGCTCAGGGCAGGATGCTGAAAGGCATTTGGAGCAGAAATCTCTTCTTACTGGAGACCTAGTCTTCCTTTTCTAGCTCAGTGACATCTGAGGCCAATTCCCACATTTTTAGCCTGCTCAGCCCTCTACAGAGCATCTTCTTTACTGAAGGCCAGAGGTGGGGTTGGTGTGTGTGCTCTTCTGTATTTGCTTTTAACTTCAGATGAAAAGAAAATACTGACCATATTCCCTCCTTGTATTCATCACCTGATTTACATTTCATTTATTTCTATAGCCCTGAACAGACATTAGTAACTCATAAGAGTAATAATAGGAGTTTCTACTAATAAAACTCCTTCCATCTGTGGAGTTCAAATTATGGACAAGCACCATTAGTCCCATTCAGAGATGGATTTACCTGGTGTAACTTACAGATGTGGCTGCAAGAATCTGGAAGAAAATGCAAAAGCTCCTGCTTCCAGCCCCAGCTTCGGCTCAGCTGGTCTGGTACAGCCATTTCGAGGGTGGGGCAGGGGGATATAATAATTCAAAAGACTAGATTTGAGAGATGCTCAGGAAGAAATTAAACCTCATCTCTGGAGACTGCTGAATTTCACAAGGTTTTCCCAAAGCAGCAAAACGAGCAATGTCCCGAGCTTTGGCTTCTATACTTATCAGCATGAAAAAACCATGAGCGTGAAATCAAACAACAGGCTTCAAATGGGAGCTACAATGACTAATTTGTATGTACCGTTATTTGATCTCCTAACCTACTAGATTTAAGGTAAACCACAGTGGAATATCAAGCAGACATTAAATGAAACAGTGTCATTAATTCAATCCAATGAGATATGTTTTATATAACAAAGGGATTTGTTCTGATACTCAAACAATGTATATTAATGAAAGAGTTGAAATAGATTCATTTTGTTCTCAAAGCAAACACATTAAGTAAAGCCATCAAGAAGTAAAGAACATGACATATTTTTTTTTAAACTGTGCTTTATTTAGGGCTAAGCTGGAAAGCGTCATTCAATAATTACAGAAGATTACAAGGAGTTTTAGGGAATTGAGAGTGAAAGAGCAGTTGTATGGAACTGCAGCTGCATTGCACATCTGTACTTCCTAGCCAAGGGCTCTGTCTGACTGTCCTTACTCCATCAGAATGCCCGTTATATCCCCATGGAAATTTTGACAGGGTAAGGACTATAAGAACAGGCCCAATACGAAACTAAACTTAAAACAAAATTTAAAAAAAAAAAAAGAAAGATAAAGGAAGAAAGTTTGAGATCAAGATAAAAAAATACTAAGAAAAACGAACAAGAACATCAAAACAGAGTAAAACCAAATAAAGAATCGGAGACAATTATCACACTGCTCAGTCGATACAAACGCGTGTGAGAATGATGTAACTCAAGTTTTAAGACTGTGAAAATAAATTATAATAAATATGATATACTTT